CCCTACACAAATCCTGCTCAATTTATGCAAATTATACAAATAACTGCATAAATGGCCTCTGTTGTTTTTGGGGCTGTTGGTTGTAGCTGTGTTGGTCTAAGGTCATAGTCAGACAAGATTCTTTGGGTAAATGTGATATCTTTTATTAGACCAACAAAACAGTTGGAAAAACTGTTCTTTGTAAGCTTTTGAGTACAAACCCGAAGGCTTGCAAAGAACCATTTTTCCAACTATTTAGTTGGTCTAATAAAAGATACCACATTCACCCAAAGAACCTTGTCTTTCTCTGTTGTCTTTTGCAGTTGCTGGTATGAAACTGGAATATTAACATACCTTTGAGAGGAGAGTTAAGGCTGTGGGGGTGATAACTGTGATGAATGGTGGCTGTGCTAGTGGGGAGATGTGTGTCCCTTAGCATAAGGGATATATATTGAAAGATGGCGTAGCTTCCCATTTCCTTCCTTTTGAGGTTTTAGGTACATTTTTTTAAAAGAGCCCAAGTCCCACAGAAAGGCAATGGGATTTAGGTGCATAAGTCATGGTGATCTGGAACTTGCCATATTTGTTTCAGGCTTATTTATGTGATGAGCAACCTTACTTGTTGCACAGTGTAGTGTGTTTGTGTATAAGTGACTTCATTTTTGTAGTGGTAACTGAACAGTAACATACCATGTCTTGAAGAACAGCATCTTCATGAAAAGGCCTGACTGCGTTTCACAAGAATGCCAGTTTTCATATGAGCTTCTGCTTGACAATGAATAACAATTAGATGCTGGTGAAGTCTGGCTAAAGATTTTTCAAGTCTTTGGTAATTAAGTCAGGTGACATTTTCAAGGTTTTCTTTAAAAGCTTGAGGCTAGAAACATGAAGTCACATAAAATGGCTCTGTAATATTCCATTTGGTACCAAAAATATTTTCTCACTAAACATGGTGATAAGAGAAACTATGATGAATATGTGCAGTATATCAAACATTAACAGAATAAGGACCTTTAAAAACAGCCTTTCCCTTAGGTGGTGCTCAAATCTCTCACAGAGATTACCATATTTCCTCATCTCAACATTGATCATTAGCTTTACAGAAAGACCTGAATAAAACAGGCCATTTAGAAAATAAATGTTACTACAAATGTTATAACTATAATTAGTTATAATTCTAATTAGTTCATTACCTGAAAAATCCTTTAAAGCTCAGTCTTTGCATTCAGGTTATTTGCTTGCAAATTTGGGAAACATGCCCAGAACTTTCCTTCAAAACCAAAGGGTGCATCCTTGGTTTTAAGTGAAACAGTAAGATGATTTCTGTGCCTGAAAAAATTCAGCTTGCATTTCACACCCCAGGTCTGAAGTGCTTATAGGCCTGGCAACACGAGGAAAAGTTAGTTCAATTTGGTAAGATGCCATTGAGAGACAATGACCATGTAATAGGTCTAAGCTGTTTTTACAAAATCACTTCTCAACCCAGGTGCTGCTAAATTCAGAAAAGTTATGGAGAGGTGCCTTGAGGCTAAACAGGTTATGAACCACTGGGCTAGGGGGTTGAGAGGCAGGATGGTGCCAATAAAAGCTCATTTGTGGGAGACAGCTTGCATCATATTTATCTGTGCCATTAGCCTTACTTTTCTCAGCACCAAAAACCAAACAAGTTTCTTAACATTGGCCAAAAATATCTCCAAAGCATTAAGAATTGAATGAAAGGATTTAAGCAGGATTTCCCCTCAGTGCTGTCTGATGTCATCAGACACCAAGAGGAAATTCTCACCCGTGGTGCACTCTTTTTTTTTTTAAATAGATTCCCAATTTTTTTTTTTTGGAAAGGGGGAAAAAAACACCCCTCTGGTCTCCAAGCTGCTTGTGCTTCCTGCTAAGTGAGCCTTCCTCAAAGGAGACATGGTAGGAAGGCTTCAGACTTACACTTCAAAGTGCTTTTTGGAAAGCAAGGAGCTGTTAGGGATGTCAGATCATGTGAAGCCAGAGTGTAACTGTGGGACATTAGCCTTAGAACAGGAGAGATTTATTTTGTCTGGCACAACCATTCCTCCTTCAGAGCTTCCCTTAATGACAGAGGGCTCAAATTTGCCTTTAGGACGTAGCTCTGTTGGAGGTATGTAGAGCTGTATTGCCCAGTGGGGAGCCTAGCAAGCAGAATCCTTCCTCCAGATCACAAGCAAAGTTTGCAAGCTGGCATAACCAGTGATGGGGCGTAGCACATGCCTGTACCTCAGCAACTAGCTTAGAGAGGAATGGGGCCCTGGTAGTGTTGCAGGGTATAAAGTGTGTTAAAAGATGATGTAAATAACTGCCAGAGGAAGCCACTTTTAGAGCACAATAAATTTTATTGGTCTTATAAAACTCAGGAAGTAAGCTATATACTCCTTCTATCCCTCTATGCACATATATAGAGATCTAGAGCATGCCTTGAATGCACAAGATTGGAGTTTAGGTATCTTGGTGCCCATCGCCTAAAGAGATGAGTCTGTTTCCATCTCCTTCTTAAAACTTATTTAGGGCATGGGTCCCAAAACTGCATGGATACATGCTTGACTTGACATGTTTAAGCAGACCCTTGGACATCAAGGAACAGTCACCACACACAAACATTTGCTCAGAGGATCATAGTTTTGCACTTCAGCAGTAATTGTCCTAGTCCATGATGTTGGGAAAAAAAGATTTACATCACTAATAAGGATGAGATGAAGCCTTACTCTGGCTGAGCTGTGCTGAGAAAGTGTGAGGAATGAGGGTTTCCCCCAAGTTTGGCTCATGTTTGGCTGCCTAAAATTAATCCTTTGGAAGTCACTTTTCTCTGAGAAGCAAGGAGTGAATTATAAGGACACAGCTCTTCTGGTCCCTGTGGACATGTCTACACATTCATTAATGTGCCTTAGATACTGTGCATTTAGTTTAATATACGCTTGATAAAGTACTAACCCAATGCACAGTACCTAGAGTTACTGCCCATTAGCACTGGTGCACAGTTATTTAGTGACGCTTACTGCACATTAGCCTAATAACACTGCACAGTAGGCTATTAGCATGATTTGTGCTGTAATGCTTTACGGCACAGTGTTATTAGGCTAATGCGCAGTAAGTGTCTCGTGTAAACACGCCCTGTAGCATGGAGCACAAGCAATAGGTGAGATCCTTAGCTCATATAAATGGATGTTACTTCATCACTTTCAGCTGAGCTGTATCAATCTAAACCAGCTGGGGATCTGGCCTATTGATCTCAGTGGATCTGTGCCAGGTTAAGCAGCTGAGGAGCTATAAGTTGAAGGGTCATTCCAATTACAAATACAGCAACTGTGTTTGATTTCCAGGAAAGCCATCAAATATAAACATATCCTTCTGGATTTGCAGGCTGGCAGCTGTGGGGAAGCCTGAAGAACAAGTTATTTTGTGATAAAAAAGAAGCAGGAGAAAAACAGCAGTTCAGACTCAAACAGCAAGTTGACATATGCACGGATAATAACATGTTGATAAGCAGTGCTGCATGTTCAGGGTCTCATGAGGTTACAGTAATTGCTGGCTGTGATCCTCATGCTATGAACTAGCTATGTGTATGGTAGGTAAGCTGATTCAAGAGCCTCAAAGCAATAGCATAAATCTTTGATATTTTTTCTGTTTAGCAATCTGTGATGCTACTTTTTGTTTCTCATAGAGAAAACTGATTGCATTTGTGGTTACATGGTGGTCATGGAATAGTAGGGTTACAA